ACTGGTGGGAAGTGGTGGAACCACTATGAGGTGAAGCCTATTTGAAAGAACTTGTGTCATTGGGGCCTTGCCAGCCACCATGAAGTTTCTTCCACCACACATTCCCTGCCATCATGCTCTTCTTTATCACAGGCCCAAAAGCAACTGGGCCAAACAACTGTGGACTAAAAACTCTGACACATGAGCCAAAATATCTCTCTTTTTGTTTGTCCAGGTATTTAAGCTAGCTAATGCACTAAAAGCAATCCCTACAGGAGAACACAATTTTCATGACCCTTGCCCTTGGAATTCTATCATCCGGAGAAGATTAAGTGTATCATAGGAAAAGAAGCTTAACATTGGTGTCCACCATACTCAGACTTTGGCAAAGCTTATCCATCACCTGCTATCTCAGACTTTATCTGCACAATAGTATAATCTTTGTTCACTGTGTATTTCCTCTCCTCATGCACCTATAAGCTATCACCACCTCCCTCTAAACACTGAGCTCTTATTCCTTTCTGTAGCTTAGGAAAACTAAGATTCCCACCTCCTGGACCTTCTGTTCGTTTTATACTTTATTGTCTGTTCATTTCATAGATTCACATCAAACCTTCAGAGGGCAAAAGAAAACTACAATTGTTAATCATTTTTCAATAGTTTTCTTCAGACTTTAATTAGAGGATATTAACAGCTCTACTAGGAGATAAAAGTCACATTAAATTAAAAAGATTTTTAAAAATTATAAATTATAATATAACTAAATTTACTATTCAAATTCACCAGTATTATACATTAAAAGGTAAAGATAAACAAGATTTGGTACATTCACTGGGAGGCAGGATAAAATAGTATAGTTTGAATATACAGATTAGGCCTTAGATACTTCTCTCTAGAGCCTAGCCACACAACACTGGCATACAAGAATACTCTGACCAACTGCAATGCCAAAAAAATAAGCTATAAAAACATACTATAAAGGTATTAAGGAAGAAATTATTATAGAAATTTTGAGGAAGAAAGCAGGAATAGGCAATTGAGTTATGAGAAAGAAAAAGAAAGGGATCAAGAATAAGGGTACAACTATGTTAGACTGACTGCCTAACAATACCAGGCCCTGATTTAAATACCTACCAAAACAAAAATAACAAACAAACAACTAGAAGCCAAATAGTATTTTCTATGAAGGAGCAAGCAGTAATTACTCATGTTTTGGGAGCCATGTGGTCTTTATTACAACTATTCATTATCATGGTAGCAAAATAGTCATCACAGACAATACATAAATGAATAAATGTGACTGCTCTCAAATAAAAACTGATAAACAAATTATATGTATGTAATCTTGTTGCTTAATGTTACTTATGTCTGAGTTCTTTTGTTGTCATCTTTTATTTATTTTTTAACATTTAAACAAAAGGAAAATGAGAAAACTTATTTTCTGGACATTCAAAGTATATAAATTATGTTGTTTTATAATAAAAAATGATTTTTTGTTTTGTTTGAAAAGCAAACATTTAATGTCTGTAACTCCATAATCTTTGCCAGATTTTACATTCCCACATTACCAGTGCCAACACACTTCTCTAAGTACACAATTGAGTAGATGATTCATTGTGTTATAAGGTAAGAAACTCTTGAGTATTACTCAATCCAATTTTTCAGGTCAAAGATGAAGACATAGGTTTATCAGAGCCTAAATGTAATGAAGCATGCTTTATTTAAGTTCTCCTATGAGAAAGACAATGGAATTCGAATTCTAGTTACCTGAGTCTTAATCCTGCAGTCTTTACATTACTAGTTGGTGTTGGGTGTTTTCTTTTGTTTTTGCCTTTTAGAAAATTGCTTAAATTACCGTAACATCGGTTCATCCAAACTTCCAAAGCACAAGTTCACAAGGCAATCATATTAATCAATCTGGGGAAGAAGAGTTAATTTTTGTATTTCTCACCATGTTTATATACACGCAAGGGTAAATCAGAATGGAAGAGATTGCTGAGGTGTTTGGAAAAGATCCTCCACTCTGGTTCTATAATACTTTAATACTGTTTATTTAGATCTTTCTTATATGGTATGTGTAGAACCAAACCTTTATCTATTTAAAAATACATAATGCTAAACATAAAATAAATCTGGAGATCAAAATCACCACAGTGCCAGGTGCTGTGGCACACACTGTAATCCTAGCTCCCCAGGAGGCTGAGATCTGAGAATTGTGGTTCTAAGTTAACATGAGCAGGAAAGTCCATGAGACTCTTTATCTCCAATAAACCATGCAAAAACTGGAAGAATGTCTACTAAGAAATCTTTCCCACCTTAAGTCTTAAGGATTGTAGAAATTCAGATTTTCTGTATTTTTCTTACACAGTGACTTCTATGGTTTTTCATTTTCTAAGTCATTGTCCACTGAGCCTTTTCAAGTTATATTTTCTATTAACTTTTATACTGTTACTCAATTATTTTTTATAGTAACAATCAGATTGGAAAGCCACCTGATTTCAACAGTATATTACACCTACAATTTACAGGCAATGGTCACCACGCAGTCCTGTGACCACTTAGAGGGAGGCTAACACCAGGGATTTAATAATTAGATTTCCTGTTACTAAACTCATATTACAAACCTTAAATGAGTAATTTTCAAGGTGTCAGACATAAAATATGGTAGGCTAAAAGGATGGAAAACATTAGAACTGTTTAATGATAATGATGTTACTGATTAATTAAAATATTTTCATTAATAAAAATACTATTTTGACAGTATTATTTTAAATCAAAATAATAAAGACTACATAACCACTTTGAAACAATGATTTAATTAAGAAATTGCCAAAAAAAATGTCAATATAAAATTGTACTTAGGAAATCTTTCTTAAGAGAAAGGATGTTAATAAACATAATAGGATATATTTATATACTATTATTTACTTACTGTCAGGCCCTATCCTAATCACTTTGTTTTTTAATAACTCATTTAATCTCACAGTGAATCTCATTTCATATATGAAGAAAATGGAAATAGAACATAATTACCTACCATAGATTTGAATCCAGACAGTCTAGTTTTAGACTTTTTTTCTGGCATGGTGCTGGGGTCCAACACAGTGTATGCTAAGCACACGTTCTATCATTGTCCTATATACTCCCATCTCTTACCCCTAGAGTTTTAGATTTTAATAAGATATGTAACAATAAGAGAAGAAATGCAAATGTTTTAAATAATAATTTCTACAGTATGTTGACATATATGCCAAATATGTTACAATATAGTACTACTACTACTAATATTGAAATTTTTATAGTGCCTTATAGTAATAATGCACTTAAGACATTATTTCATCCAAACAGATAACTAAAATCTCATTGAAATTCAATTTGAACAACTAGAATTTGAGTGTCTTTATGCTAAATAAGAGTTTGTCAAATATTATACATTAGTGACAAATACACAGTAGCATGCATTTCAGTCTAAGGGAACAAAAGTAGAAATACCAGATGAAGAATGGAGAGAATGAGAACTAATTATAACCAGGTGTCTGTTATATATAGAAACTATCCCAGATATTCCTACTTCATAAGATTTCTTATTTTAGGGCTGGGAAGGTGGCTCAGTGGTAGAATGCTTGCCTTGCATGTATGAGGTCCTGGGTTTGACTCCTTAGCACCACATAAGCAGAAAAAGCCGGAAGTGGTGCTGTGGCTTAAGGGATAGAGCGCTAGCCTTGAGCTGAAGAGCTGAGGGACAGTGCCCAGGCCCAGAGTTCAGGCCCCACGACCGGCACAAAAAAAAAAAAAAAAAATTCTTATTTTAATTATGAAAAAACATTAAATCCATTATGGAATTACTCCAAAATCATAGAGCTTCTAAACAGATTAGAATCCGAACTGGCCTGGCTTCATGCCTTCTTCTAGTACATGTGCTGGCGAAACAGTAGAAAATGAGAAAAAAGGATATTTCCATTTCCGTTCATAATGAGATAGCCATAAACCAAAGGAGTAACACAGTTATCAGTGGGGTAACATGGTTATCTGAAAAGCTGACATATTCTTAGGCTTTAGTATAATTGTATTAGTGAGATTATATTAATTATCCAAAAAGCAGCAAATGTAGACATTTAGGCTTAAAGGAAAATTTTAGAATAAGTAATTAAAGAGCTGTTAAACAATAGGCACCAGATTTGAGCTCAAAATAAGAAAAGTAAATAATAGAGATGTCAAAACAGGAATAAATCAAATTATGATATTATCAATCAAATGTTAGTGATTTTTGCAGAGGACTTAGAATAAGGCATGTGCTAGATGAATGATCTTATTCCTTGCTCTACTTCAAAGTACAGTTTGTCTTTTACATGGGACATTCTGTATTAGATTTTGTTTTTTCAGGGAGGTATTCTGACATAGTAAAAAAAAAATCTGAAATACTGAATTTATCATAATTAATCATGATTATTAAAATTACTGAATTAATACATTGAAGGATTTGTTACAAACCGAGTGTCAGTGGCCCATGCATATAATCCTATCTACTCAGGAGACTGGGATCTAAGGACACTGGCCTTAAGTAAGCCTGGACAGACAGATTAGTGAGACTCAAATCTTCAATTAACTAGCAAAAAGGTAGAACTAGAGGCATGCCTCAAGTGGTAGAGAACTAGCAATGAACAAAACAGGAAAGAAAGAACACAAGGCTCCTCAGTTCAAGCTTCAGTAAGGGCACAAAAAAATGAATAAATATATATGCTTGGTGAGAATGGCTCACACTTGGAATCCTAGCTATTCAGAAGGCTGAGATCTGAGGACTATAGTTCAAGGCCAGCCCAGGTAGGAAACTCAGGAGTAGCACCCAGACTCTCAGTTAAAGGACTGGCACAAAAAATAAGATAAAATAAAATAATGTAAAAAATAATGAAATACTACCTTCAACTCAAATACTATATTCCTAAATGATTAAGAACATAAAATATCTCAACTTACTTGCTAAAACAAAAGGAATAAAAAAAAAATAAAGAGACCAAGCATACCATTTTTTTCTGCGAAGGCAATCGCATCTTCTTTAGTACTGAAAGTTAGAACCATGTTGGACAAAGGATCAGCCCTGTAAGAAAGAAACATTTTCCAAGATTTAACATTAAGCTTCAGCCACACAAATTAATATTCAAAATAAAATGATCAGAAAATAAAGTCACTATAATATTAAATAAGTACACTATTAGATGAATGTTGGCATATTACATATAATCTTAATTACTCAGGAGCTTGAGATCCAGACAATGTTAGTTGGAAGCCAGCCTGAGTGGTAAAGTCTGAGACTCGATGCTTTCAAAAATCAGCACACGCACCATGGTTTGGGGGTGGGGCCCAAGTGGTGTAGAGTATCAGCCAATCAAGCAAAGACAAGTGAAGGCCTTGAGTTCAAACCCCAGTATATGCACAATAATAGTAGTCTATGTGGTAACTGGCCAGGCTTTAAATATTTTTCTTTGTTCCATATGTTTCTATTACTACAAAATGATAAAATGAAATTTAAGCAGATTGACAACCCAAACTACAACCAAGCCATTAGCTTGAACTACAGATTCCTTAGCTAAATGACGAACTTATTATGTTGGTAATGAGACCTTCTGTTTCCAATTCCAACAAAATTATGAAGCATTTCAAAATATAATTGTGCTATTTCTACAAATGTTATAATGATTCTGTGAGCCATTTATGTAAGTATAGGAAAGTAAAAATTCTTTACTTAGTCTACTAATAAGAGTTTAAGACATGTTATCTCAAAATATGGCATTTTTGCATTTGAGAATAATCAAGAGTAGACTGGTGTTTTCTTGTCTTTCTTGCGTGAAGCAGGCCGTAACAGAATTCTCCTACCTTCCTCTAAAGTAGGCTTTCAGATCCCCATTATGAAAGTACCTACCCTGTACCCAGAGGAAGAGATACCTTTATCTCTGAAAACAAGGATGTAGTCAAGAATCATGGCTAAGTTCCCTCAGCAGATACCATTAGAGTATAGCCTCTTTGTCTATCATATTCTGTTCAACTGCATCAAATGTAAGTTAAGGGGTTGGGAAGGTAACTCAGTGGTAGAGTGTTTGCGTTGCATGGATGAGGCCCTGGGTTTCATTCCTTAGCACCACATAAGCAGAAAAAGCCGGAAGTGGCGCTGTGGCTCAAGTGGTAGAGTGCGAGCCTTGAGCTGAAGAGCTGAGGGACAGCACCTAGGCCCACAGTTCAGGTCCCAAGACTGACCCCCTTTTCTCCCCCCCAAAAAATATGAGTTGAAAAACACTGATTTCTCTGTATTTTAGGTCTTCATTTAAAGGCTTCCATGTCATATAAAACAACAAATAAATTAGTATGCTATTCTTTTGTTAAGCTATCATATATGAACCATTCATGGATATGAAGAAAACATACTGTTTTTTCTACTTTATAACACTTTAGCTTACCTGACCTTACTCTCCCTCCCTCCTTTCCTCTTCTGAGTCAGGGTTCGATTATGTAGCCCAGCCTGGTCTCAAACTCTTAATCTTTCTACCTCATCCTCAAGAGTGATAGGAATATAAAACTGCATTAACATGCCTTATATACTTATATAAAGTGATTTGCCCAGAGTATAACTTGAGTAAATAAGCAATGGTTTATCACCGTACGATGCTGAAAATATATTACTACAGTGAATCCTAGAATAGATAAAACCCCATTAAAATCTTGTAGACTCAAAATGAATAAAGAGAACACTTAAATTTTGTGGTATAAAGAAAGTTATACAGGGGGTGGGAAGGTGGCTCAGTGGTAGAGCGCTTGCCTTGCATGCTTGAGGCCCTGGGTTCGATTCCTCAGCACCACATAAGCAAAAAGAAAAAAGCCGCAAGTGGCTCTGTGGCTCAAGTGGTAGAGCGCTAGCCTTGAGCTGAAGAGCTGAGGGACAGCACCCAGGCCCAGAGTTCAGACCCCAAGACCGAACCCAAAAAAAAAAAAAAAAAAGTTATACACACACTGCTGAAGTCTCTAGATGCATGTGATTTACAAAATAAGTATATGTTGCCTGAAACATGAAATCTTAAAGGTATCAAAACATCTACAAACTGTTTATGGTTCACCTAAAATAATTCTATTCAAATTGCAACATAGAAAAATTTTAAAAATAGAAATATACTAACCCTGTCCCCCCAAAAAATCCCGAGAATGAATTTTCTAATCATAGGGTTCCTTCAAATTAGCTAACTTTTGAACTCAGATGCCAGCACACCTCAAGCAAAATGCATATTATAATATTTTACTTTAATTTAAAAACACATAAAAATAATACTAAACTATTAATACCATTCATGAAGTATTTCAGGCTAATATATGGAGCTTGAATCTCACATTTGCAATACTTATAATTCTTATATAAAAATAATTTCATTGAATTAATAGTATTTAAAATAGTATTTCTAAGGTTTATTTGTTGAGTCACACTCATATAAATATACATGCGAACATATTTTAAGAAATACATATATGGTACCTATGTCTTTGGTTACAGTGAAACCTAAAGTATCAAAAGTTTGAACAACAGATGAAAGAAGTGACACTGATCAAGATGTATTATACTCATAAACTGATAGGCTGAAATGAAACCTCTTTATACAACTGCTTAAAGATAATTTTGAAAAATTAAAAGTTAAGAAATTAAACTTGTCTTCTTTTCTTTTCTTTTTGGTGCTGATTCTGGGGCTTGAACTCAGGGGTGGGACACTGTCCCTTAGCCTTTGTACTCAAGATTAGCACTCTACCACTAAAGCCACAGCTCTACTGCTGGCTTTTTGGTTAACTGGAGATAAGTTTCATGGATATTCCTGCCTGGTCTGGCTAGGAACTATGATCCTCAGATCTTAGCATCCTGCGTAGCTAGGATTACAAGCGTGAGCCACCAGCATAAAACTTAAATTTATCTTGGGGCTGGGAAGGTAGCTCAGTGGTAGAGCGCTTGCCTTGCATGCTCGAGGCCCTGGGTTCGATTCCTCAGCACCACATAAGCAAAAAGAAAAAAGCCGGAAGTGGTGCTGTGGCTCAAGTGGTAGAGTGCTAGCCTTGAGCTGAAGAGCTGAGGGACAGCGCCCAGGCCCAGAGTTCAGGCCCCACGACTGGACCACAAAAAAAAAACAAAAAAAACTTAAATTTATCTATTAAAAAAAAAGTATTTTCAAAAGAAAAATTTACATTGAAAAGGAAAGTTGAAAACAAGGTTCATTTTAAACCAAAGTACTTACGTTGAAGCCCAACCCATCAAAGGATTTTCCCATCGCTCTCTGGTATCAAACTCCATCTTCCATTTCTTTGTGTTGTTTACACCAGACTGCATGTTATTTCGAGCAGGAACAAATATCCTGACCTTTCTAGTTGTGATATGCTCTTTTGGAACACCAGTTAATGCCGTGATATCCTAAAGAAAACAAGCACACAAACATGTTTCAGCAGACTATATATTCAGTGATGCAGTTTTGTTACTCTTTATACTCATGTAATTCTATCCAAATGTCTATAAATTGGGATAGACTTTCTGGCTTATTTACTACTATCCTTACCTTACTCCCTTCCTTTTCCTTCTTTCCTTGATCCCTTCGTTCCTCCCTTCTTTCCATTTATTTGCTGACTGATGGTGGTAGGGATTATTTGAATCTAGGCGCTCCTGTACACTAGGAAGTACTTGGCCATTGTGCTACACCCAACCCAGCATTTCTGGAGAGTTTGTTGGTATAAGAACCTATTAGTCAATATACTCTTATAGTGTGAGCAGATGTAACTCATCAGACAAGAAAAAAAAAATATGCTAAAAGATTATTAAAAGTAAAGGAATACAAGAAGCAACTAAATTTTAAACAGAAGAAAATCCAAAAACAATTTTAGTTAGCATTTTATCTTCCTTTGGTGAAACCTACTGAGAATGAGTAAATCTGATCTCAAAGTCTAATTTGTTAAGCCAAAAAAGTTGTATGGTTTTTGCAGAAATGTGAAATGAAAACAATGGTAAGTTTTTTAACTACAATTTTGTATATTTTTATCCAACAATGTTTGTAAAATACTTTATTCTAACAAAGTAAAATCATATTAGGATCAACCATATTATTTTAATAAATAACACATTTTAATAAATTACGCACTTAAAATCATCAAGGCTGAAGGTGTCAGTGAGAGGACAGTTGCCTAGCATGTGTGAGGCTCTTTTAATATCAGCTCAAAGTGAAGAAAGACTTGGCATGAAAATGATTAAATCAAAACTAAACAAAAAACGAACATTTTCACTTCATTATTATGTACCCCCGATTTCAAGCTCTTTATTTGTAGTTTTAGTCTACCAATGCTATTAACCTTATCATTAGTATGAATATAGTATGAACAGATACTGGGGAAACACTAGGTGCATTTGTGAGGTATCAATTTTTCCACCTACAAGACCAAAAATAGAAATCTTTGAAGTTATTGAATTGGCAACCAATAATCTACTTAAAACAATTATCTCTCCACTTGCATCAACTAGGTGTGGTTACTTTGTCATAGCTTGTCTATTTAGAGAAATTATCAAAATAATCCATATAAATATTTACACAAATATAAAAACTTCTAAAGGTGCCTATACTAGTTTAAATTCCTATATATCTGTGGTGAGTAAAAATAAATACAATTTGAATAAGAGCTTTTTAATGTAAATTTAAGATTTGATGAGTAATTTCTAACTGCCATGTTCAACTAAAATTCTAAATACTATTAGACTTTAGTGGTCAGGAACAATGCTCAGGGGTACAGTGCTTGCCTACCATGCACCAAGGTCCTCGATTCAATCCCCAACAATACCAGAAAAAAAAAAAAAAAAAGTATTACATTTTAATGACTGAGTATCTAAAGCACAGTCCTATATTCAATGGCTAGAAGTAACTCCATTCCTTGCAAAGTCCTCAATGTTTAATTCTCCCTTTGAATTTACGATTGCATTTTCAATCTTAATATTGATTTATTGTTTAATGCATATATCATTAGATTAATAAGTTTTATTTCCTAAGTATAGTTGAAGTAGACTATAAACTAACACCAAAAATATGTTATAGAATTGTGGGAATGGAACATCTCAAAATTCCACTGCAACCTCTCCATTCTGAGCTAAATTCCTAACAAAGAAAATTGTTTATACAAGATGCAGGGTACCGGAATCAAATACAGTGAAAACAGGGGTTATACCATGGGCGAAAGAATATACAAAAGAAATAAATCACATAGGTTGGCTCAGTGGTAGAGCGGTTGCCTTGCATGCTCGAGGCCCTAGGTTCGATTCCTCAGCAGCACATAAGCAAAAAGAAAAAAAAAAGCCGGAAGTGGCGCTGTGGCTCAAGTGGTAGAGTGCTAGCCTTGAGCTGAAGAGCTGAGGGACAGTGCCCAGGCCCAGAGTTCAGGCCCTACGACCGGACCCAAAAAAAAAAAAAAAAATAGTAACAGAAAAAAACCTCTTGTGCCCCTATTTTGGGGTTCATTTCGCTTAGCTCCATCTTATAAGGTCATATGTACATAGCTTTTGACCTTTTCTATTTGTCTGGTAAGATTATCCTAGACGTATACTAATTATTGCAAATAAGGAAAACCACAGGACCTGTGTTTCTTTGGGCCTGGCTTACTTCACTTAGTAAAATTTTTTCCAAGTCTTTCCATTTCCTAACAAATGGGGTGGTGTCATTCTTTCTAAAGGACGTATAGAATTCCATTTTGTGTGTGTGTAGGTGTGTTGTGTATGTATGTATCTCTCTATATATACACACAACATTTTTTGATCCATTCATCTACTGAGGGGCATCTGGGTTGGGTCCATATCTTATAATGCTGCAATGAACGTAATTGTGCTGGTAGCTTTAGTATGGTCTTGTTTTTGATCGTTTGATTCAGTACCCTGTATCTTATATATACATTTTTCTAATTTGGGGAGGGGGAAGGAAATAACAAAATGCTAAACAATGAGATGTACAAGACATTTTGTTGAAAATGAACTTTACAAGTTGGGGGGGAGGGAAGAGTTGAGGAGATTAGGAGGGAAGGGATGGTAGGGGAAAAACAAAGGAAGGGGTAACAATGCTCGAGAGAAAAATGTAATCATTACCTTATGTAACTGTAACCCCTCGGTACAGTATCTTTACAATAAAAAATATTAAAAATTGTTATTTGACTGTTCTTTAACTACATGAAAGGAAACATTAAATTCTTAATAAAGGTTAACTCATGAAAATGAGATTATAGTAAATATTTGTTTTTTTCTTCTGTATTGCGATGCATGACAAAAATATTTTAATAACAAAAGCTTTGAAAAAACTCAAAATAATATTTCTCTTTTTTTTTTTTACTACATGTAAGTAAAAAAAGAACAGAATGACTTTTAGATTGAGAAGTCGCTCTAAAGTGGTTATAAAATATTGCTAAGTTCTGTATATTCTAAACTCATAATTACCAATCTTTCATGTAACTTATTGATATCTACCCCCAATTTAAAGTTGGCATTCAAGCAATGAATTTCTGAATTTTAAAGTATACATTATCTTGCCATAGACTCACAGTTTTTGCCTGCAGAAGACATGTAAGGTATTGCAGCTCAGTTGAGCTGCTGCCAAAGACAGACAATAAAAGGCTTGGCATCTCTCACATACTTGACACCTAAAGGGCACAGAAGCGCCAAGATTTCTGGTCCCTGTAGACACACTTTCAGTCTAGACAAACTGATTTCTCACACTTTAAAAATGAACCACGACACTCCATTGTTATCGTTTCATCCAACCAGCTTCAGTTAGTGACAGAAGAACCTATTTGCTAATGGACATTTCAATAGCTTAAAGCTCCTACTCCAAGTGTCCATTAAAACAATGTACCACTTGAAAAGCACCTACACTCACTTCTGTCTGAAGTGCTTGCCTCTCCCCATAGGTTCTCATTGAGCTACCTGTGACTTAACTTCCACCACCAACTAAAACCACCAAAAATTGTTTCAACTCTGTTGATTGATGGTATTCTCTATAACTTATATACACACACATAGATTACCTGTGAATTTTCCAAAAATCAATATAGAAATGTGTTGAGGCTGTCAACAATGAAATTACTCATTGGTAAAACAATTTATAAATATTAATTCATAAATCATCTACCATTACCAAACAGTTAAATCAAACATGTAAGAAGCCTTCAAGCTGGCATCGAAGAACCTTAAGCCTCACTAGTTAATAATTATCTGTAAGTTCTAAGAAATTCTGTTAGCTTATAGATAATACATATGGATTTACTAAATTTTAAAATTTGATTTTTAAGTAGATTTTTAAATAGCTGGATCAAGCATGAAATTTATGTTTCTATTATTAAAGAATGTCATCCTAACAAAGTTTCAGAGACTACCTTACAATATACTATTTTATGAAATAGAAATTAGTAAGTCAAATCATAATTCATGAATCAGGCACCTGATAAAAATTTACTACTGCAAAGATACATTTCACAGTCCAATATCCAAATACTTTATAGCATCATCTTTCCCTACTTAAATTTTGGAGGAACTAATACTTGAACTTTTATTTCTGGAATTTAATTAAAAGGAAGGTAAGTTTTTAAAAATCATTAAGAAGGTATGTGCCAGTATATGTATACAAATTTTGTTCAAGATACTAATTTTCATTATAAAATATTACTTTTACATATAAAAACTATGATTCGGTTATCAACTGTCCCCATTTATCTTGTGTGAATCCAACTTTTTCTTTTTTAACAAAGGAAGCAAGGAACAAGCAATGGGAAGTTGGTGTCAGAAATGCAGAAAAACCTCCCAGCAAGCTTCTTGCAACCACCCAGGATTTAAAGTCTTGCTGCCCCTCTCCTTTCAATGCCAGAATTTCACACATTTCAATGACTATTATGACTTCAAAGAATCAAATTTTCATCATTGTCCATCATCTGCCCATTGATTTGTATAAAAGGTTCTTCTGCATGCACCCCAAACAAAAGACTCCTTACTTTTGTGGTTATATATCAAGTTTAAAAGTTTTGTTTGTGACAGTTGTGTCTTTGGTAAATTAGGGTAACACTGAAGGAGTGCAGCTGCTCTGCAGGAACCTCCTTTCTGGCACTATTTCACTTAAATAAAAACTGAATAATTAGTTTCTGCCTTTATTAAACCACAAAAATGCTATGCCCTTAGTAATTACTTCCAGTTGCCCCACCCACTTAACCTTAACAGTTTACATTTGTCATAAAGAGAAATAAATAAAAGGGTTCTGCAGTTCTGGATGGATTTTTACTAGGTCTCTTCATATATATCTAGCAAAGAAAAAAAAAAATCACCAGGCTTTTTGGTAATAAGTTAACTAAATTGTATTTGAATGGATCAATCTTGAAAATTTTAAATATTGAAATGTTAGTAAGTAA